CCTCTTAAGCTACGTGTGGTAAGACACCAATATCAACGTTATTTTAGGAAAGAGATATTGGTATTTGATGAATCTAATGTGAGAAGCTACGAAAATATTTTTTATTTTGCAATACCCACCATTTACCCTAATTTTGTTATAAATGAAATCCAGTGTAAGCCGGCGTGTATAGATGTACCAAATATCTTCATTCCATTCACAGACTGTTTACTATGTGAAGCGAGACCGTGTAAATTGTAGTAAAACATCACTCAGGAATGCATGAATCAGGTGTTATTTTATACACGGGAGGTTACCACGCAGTTTCATGGATTACAATTTATTTCTGTGGGAATGTAGAAGCTCCTTTGAAGCTCTCGATGTGAATAAACTGACTGTCTGACCTAACCCCGAGTCAGCGTTAACGCTAAACTTTCATGCTAAAAGAGATTTATGCAGATAATTGTATATGTGTATAACTGCTGACTTTGTCGACTGTATCATATGTTGCTAAGTCTGTCTAAAGTTCCTTGAGCATTTCATTTTCCTTTGACAATAAAAAGTAGGTCAATATCAACGTAGGGTAAAACTCATTAGAAGGAAATGACTTTTGGAAACAAAACCAGGATTGTTGTATCCTAGTATAATATTGCTGTAATTGACATCAGTCGAAATGGTTTGACGACTTAACAATACGACCCGAGGTGAATTCTAATGTCAATTTCTTACTCCTCAACACATTATCTCCATGTCAATGAGTCCAGGTATAAATGGTCCTGACCCGTCACAAAGCTGAGGCGATCGATTGATGTGTTCAGATGTTCCATTTCTGCAAAAAGCATGTCAGAAGGAAACTCTTAGGTTTTTGAAGATTATAACTCATGCCAAGATCTGTTGCTTTAATGTAATTCCCACACCTGTCAAACATGACATGTCTGGCCTTGTATAGTCGTTTTATATCAAATATATCCTTATACTTATGTTCATGTTATGATATTAGCATTGATAGAACAATAATGTTATTTGAATGTTTAATTCTGGATCTGAATTACACGTTTGTTCTTTACAAGTAAAGGTTTATTCGTGATAGATTCTTTTTATTTGATACACATTAGTCATTTGACATAACCTCTATACGTTTTCAACTTCGACAGAACACATTTTCCTTCACTGACCTCAGTTTCAAATTACAGGTAAACCTCAATAACCAGTAAAAAATTATCAATGATACGTATAGCGCTCTTTCTGAGATAGTTCCAAGTATTCAAGTTCGAAAACTTTGCGTATTCAATGTATTCCGGTTACAACCAGCGATGAATGTTAGCTATGGAATCATATAAATGATAGTTGTATTGGATAATGATCAGAGCAATCTTTGTCAGTACTGATTAAATATGTATCTGTTTTACAAATAATGGATAAGAATAAAGATAGTGCTTGTAATTGATTTGAACGGGAACAGGTCTCTATGATATGAGTAATAAATGGAGGTATGTCCCCATGTTGATTACAATACATTGCACATGTACTGAAGGATGCTACGACGTTGCGTCTATGGTAAAACTGCTTAGAGCTATGAACATGCCTCTATGGTACATGCACTGAAGGTTGATATGGTATATGCCACTATGGTACAAAGAATAGAAACTGATAATGAAAAACCCATTGATAGGAATAAAAAGCTTCTATGAGCAGTGCATAGTGTTAAATAGTAATATAAATAGATTTAGAGAAAACCTGCATCTTTGATACTAGCCATTCAAAGGGTATAGCGTTAGAATTGCCATCATAGTACTTGCAACAGAGATCATACCGAGACTAGCAATGTATAGAGGCTAACTTTTCCTCCATTTGTAACGAAAATGCCTGTAGGGAGGACTGGTATTGGAAGTTGCTAAAAAATAACCCTTTTTGGTACCAGATAGTGATAGTGATAAAGAATTGCCTCCATGCCTCTGAGGAGGTGTATTAGTACTAATATCTTATTAAATACAAATATTTGCTGATGCCTACAGAAAGAAATGAATTGAATATCATGTAAGATACATCTGCTATATGATAATATCCAGTAAGCATAGTTGCCATTGAAAAAATGAGGGTACAGTTTATCGATATCGAATTACAATGAGGCTAGAATAACATGTATTTAGATTAGATTAATTGCCCAATATAAATGAGTATAATCCATGATTTGCACCATAAATTACTAATACGTCATCCAGTGCATATTGTACTGATAGGATACGCTCACATGGCAATCACAACTTTAAGTGATAATACACAAATGCTTAATGTCATTGATCTATTAATTAGTATATAACGGGGGCTTCAAACGCAGGGGTGTCCAGGCGACGTCTCTTGAGAGATATAAAAAAATAATGCCCACCTGTGAGGTTTTTAAAAGCTAAAGGGGACTTATTTGCACCAATGAATGTGAAATAAAGTTGTTTAGGTCTTGGATGGTACGGACGTGATAAAGACACTGTAAATAGATAATGATAACACTTCAAAGACAGAGGAGATGTTTTGATATCGCAGTTGTAAATAATTAATTAAATACTCACCAATAGCTGTTATCGGAACAAGACATTTGAAGAGGAACGATTTATGCATATGACAATGTTCTTATGGGCAAACAGTAGATACCTTAATCAAACAAATGCTGCTTTAATACTTTGGGTACATTTAACAATATCTTATGAAAGAATCAAAACGATTATTACAAGACGTTTACAGCATAAAGGAGGGCATTTAGAAAATAAGAGTTAATATATCAATTTTATTCAAATGAAGTTTGATACTTGAATTGTAGGCATTCAGAAGAATTAGTCAAAAGGTTTAAAATGAAATATTGAAAACGATTCGAGTACGTTTTGATGCTGACTAACTGGTATCGATGTTGAAAAGAATTTTTGATATGGGCAGGTTGCACACATATTATTCTATTTTATATAGAGTGATCATCTATAAGTAGCAAATGTAATACGTTATTTCTGCAATGCTCACGAGTTTAATCAATCCTGATATATATATAAAAAAGAATTATGCTGAGCATAACGTTTTAGAAGCTTGTTACACAGCCGGAGCCCTCATGTATGACGGTTTTAAATGATCAAGTGTATTTCATAGATGCCTCAGCGATAAATTTGAATTTGATAAATCTGTTCTGCTATTAAATAACACGATGAGGGTTTTCTGTCCATCGTGTGAACGCAATTTGCAGCAAGTAGTTTTGTACACGGCTGCGTATACTGTGAGCAGAATTCAGGTATCGGTGCAATATTTAGTATATTTTGATATAAAATGTTTTATTTTCTCGCTTGTATTAAACTGCTCGTCACCAAATGATGTTATGATGTTCTGTATGAGTGATTAAAGAAGACTTTTTGTCGAATTTTAACACGCATCAGAACAACTCATTTCCTTTTTTCGTAAATTTTGTTGACTCTTCATTTAATGATGCTATTCAATAGAATTATTAATGAAATACTTTCTTGCGAGCTTTAACATAACAGTCATGGAAGCCGTGTTTATTTGAAACTGAATGCATTATGTAATACGTATTTCAATAGAAAATATCAACTGATGCATGTCCAAATTACAAAATGATTGCCGAAGTACAGTAAGAAGTTGAGCCCATATTTTCCTTTTCCAGACGGTGGTGTTGTCTACGTTAGATAATTGTGTATATAATATGATATGACAAAATAGCTAAAAAAGTTAATATAAATCAGTGAAGTGTATACAGTTATTTTAGAATATGTGATACAGATGGAACACGAATTCAGAAATCCAGTAAAGAGAAAAATTTTATGATGTCGATTCATTAGTTTTTGTCTCAATATTTGCAAGGTTAAAGAAATAATAATGATGTTCACCAATATAATTGATCTCGCATAATACAAATAGTTTTGTTGACACGCTGTTTGAGTATTATTATTTCGTACTTGACTAGGCATGCAAAAAATCTTACTATTTATAATATATTCATAATAGAATATGAGACGAGTTGAATGCCCTCCCCTCTTGTCATCATGTAAAGCGTGCATACAAGTACAAATTTGTATTTAATTTGTTAAATTACCATTACATTAAAATGAATGACTTTCAGATACATTTTTTACAGACCAATGAACATTTTATTACATAGTGTAAGGCTTGTAACTTTTGACATGATATAGCTTTTTGATTGTGTTGAATGAAATTTTACGCACGAACGATATATCATTTGACACTAAAAATATCTAGTAGCAAAATGTACTTTTCCTCTTTATCGTATACGTGCTTCATTTTAATGCTTTTTTGTACTGTATGTAAGGTGTTTGATGGTTCGCAAATAGATTTCAACACAAGTAAAATATTTTCATATAAATGAAAGAAAACATAGGGACTTCCAAAGTGGTAATAAAGCTGTTAATAAAAGGCAAAAACCACAAAACCGAGCAACAAATGACGTGACGTATCATTTTTAATTTTTGCATTTATGATTAACTAATTAAAACGTTTACCAAATGCCTTTTTGAAATAAGGTTATAGTAAGATAGTATCTGTTCTCCACTTATTACGCCTTAGGAGATATCTTTCCCCTGATTTTTGCTTGTTTGATCTTATCTATAAAAAACATCTTAAAAGACTGACCAATAAAATTAAGTCAAAGTCGTTAATTTCATGAAGGTAACATATAATGTGATTACAAAAAAAAAGAATTAATTTTTTGGACAAATACACCGCTACATACTTCACTCTGCATATTTTTCGTGAAAGAGATGCATTAAAATGATCGCATTTTAGTATTAAATGCCTCCTGTAACGATCTTGAAAAAAAATTCTGCGTATTGGAAAAACTATAACCTGCCAAAAAGGAAAAATGATGTTTTCATTCAACCCTATATCGCAATATGATTATCCATCAAATTGTATTCTTTCTATGCTGTTTGAGTTGCGAATCTCGTAATTCTGTTTAAATTCCTGTCACCTACGGTTATATAAATAATACTGATGTGTCTCGTGTTCTATTACAGAGCTTATACCAAGTGGTCATAGTATATGTGGTCAAATACGGCCTGGTGACGATGACAACAAAGGTAAGGCACAATTTTCTTTCTGCTAATATTGGTGTGCTTGTCTATCAAGTTTAACATTGGTATCTATAAGTTACCCTATGCCCTTGTTCGATAACCAAGCTGTTTAAGGTTATATATAGTTACCACATACGTATTGAAAAAGATATATGGAATAAGAAATGCAGAATTATCAATAAAGTGCACTTAACGCACGGACAACATTTCTGAAACTGGTCCTTAACATCAAAATCTGCAGATTAGACCTATTTTCCTCTCCCTGCGTGTCTTACAACCGTATTCAGTTACTCACACTAAACAGTGATGTAATTTATATCAATAAAAATCGTTTGTTCCCCAGCAATCGTATGGTTGTATTTCAAAGACATTTATAAATATAAAGACTTCTAAATACCTATCAGAAATACGTGATTCATTCTGTCGAGACAGCTAGAGACCACTTCAGATTATTCACGACATCCACTGCTTTCTCTTCACCTTTTGTTTCTTAATGTCTTTTTCCGTTCTGTCATTTTAATTTTATAACACTGTATACTGGGTGATGATAGTTGTTATATTCTGAAAAGAGGGCATGGGACTGTTTTTGTACTATTATAACCATACAGATCAAGTTAAGAATAATGAAGTACTTGCCGATTTTATTTGGTTTGTTTGTTATTCATATTTTGAATAGTCTATTAATGTTTATCATTCACATAATTATGATTATATAACACTGCGTAGTGTACAAAAGTCCAATGTTAAAACTTAAACCTAAAGTGCAACGCTGGTGTACTTATGACATATACATGGTAGACATTCTTCAGAAGGTTACCATATAGCCTATCACTTGACATTTAATAGCCATAACTGTCAGTAATTATGTAAACGATATCAACATCACCTACGCATGTCTATCGAAGGTTTAATGCTAACTTTACAAACGATAAAGTGTGCAAATACATATCGGCATTTCGTCTGACGTCATGCAGAACTTTGAAGTTTTTTTCTCAGCAAACAATGTCTAAGTGTCTGACATGAAAAAATATAATAGGGTTGTAAAAATGATGCCCGCTTACCATGTGATTGCGAAGGTTAATTTACATATAAGAGAAACATTTCAGTTATATATAAATATGCAAACTTGTGTTAAAATGGATATGAATGTGGATGATAAACCCATAGAAACTAAAGATATGTATGAAAAATAATAGCAGATTGCTTGAAATAGATAGTATTACAATTAACATAAACATATTATTAATGGAATTTTCAACGTTTATTAGCCCAGAGACGAAATGTGAGAGATGAAGTAGAAAGAACATTGAATTATGTCATGTGTTAAATACGGACGTGTAGGTGGCTAATTAGCATAAAGGTATATAAACCCACTGAAAATGTTAAATAGGTATATGTTTACACATGACTCAGAGAATACTTATACAGGAAGATATATCTTATTTTGTAAACAATTAAGTGATAATTGACTGAGACGATGTCATTCATGGTCAACAATCCATATCATTAATGTCAAAATATTTTTACTGTGGCTGCTGTATTCCCGGATAGATTAACCCAAGGAGAACCTTTATGTTGCACGATTATGTATATAAGTGAGGACAGTACCATAAAGTAATGCTTAGTTGTGGTTAAGTGTCTGTCTGAATCTGGGTGGTAGTGAATACTGGAACTTGTATCCGTTTTAGATGTCGGCGACATCCAGGTGTTAGTTCAAAGACCACTTAAACCCTATTTGTCGCGAGGATGTATATAGTTACACCATACACAACACATATATATCAATGTCTCTTTATTACTCAGAGTAAAAAGTGATGTTGACACGTGACGTTCACAACGGTACACTAAGAGTGATAAATGCAGTTTAATTACTAAGTAAGGTATAGACAACATGGCTTATCTATTTCAATAATTGATATAGTACATCGGCAACGTCAGACCATTATCTTCAATTAAGATTAAGATAAATTCCATTCTTTTCAATAAGAGGTCGTTTTAGGGTTCATGTTGCCTTCAGTAAGAATGACTGAAACACTACTGAAAAGTTGATAAATGCATATATTTCGATTTCAATGTTTCGTCACTCGTCACTTTATGTTGTCTAAATGTGGTCTGCATTGTTTTCTGATAATTTCTTTAAATTTTAAAACACTTACATATAATGTAACTTTTAAAACTTTTCGAGAAAATGTCTTTGCTAAGAATAAAAAAAATTGTTTATTTCTTGCTTCCATTCGACGGTTGTTAGATAAATAGGAAACGTTTGAAAAGATAAATAACTTCAGAGTTACAACTATTCAACTCTTAAGGAGCAATAACCATTTGCTATCATAAATCTCATTGAAAGTTGATGACCCCAACAGAGCATGTTCGCGAAATAGAAAGAAAAAAGCTGGAGGCATTTAAATGTTTGAATCGGGAAACAGTTTCAAGCACGTGTAAAGAAAGCAGATGGATTACATTCCCTTGTGTCCTTAAACGTATTTTGTCTGAGAATTGCCGTAACGGAAGTGAAGTCAAGGTAACGAACACGTTGCTAGGTCAGCATGATGCTGGGTCCCGATACAAGCGATACATGGGATCTTCCCAGTAGACCTAATTTAGTGCAGGACATGAAAGGGGGACTTACATAGTCTATGTGTTGTGTTACAAGACGAAATGATATAGTACAACTTCAAAGAGAACATTCATCGTCAGTGAAGGACTTAAAATACAACACTTGACATAAAAACGAGAAACCACCTGGAGATGGAAGTGGCTGTTTAAGTAACAAGAGGAAAAGCGTTCTCTTAACCCGTTTAACTTTTTCTATTATTTAATAGCTCTCGAAAATATATGTCTGCTTTATTTTTTGTTGAGTTACGTAATTAAAAAAATAACTTTGTATCATTAAAAGCAAGGAAGAAAATCCATTTGCATAATAAAATCGGCGATACGTATTACGGCCAAACACAAATTGGTTAAACATTCATCATTAGGAATTTATAACAGATACTAGCTTGTGAAAAACAATTGAACTTTTCTACAAAGCAAGCAGACTAAATTGAACTGAAATAAGTATTTTCATGGAGACTCTTAAAAAACCACAAGGAGAGTGTTTCTATAGGCTAAGCGGTACGTGTTTCATAGACAACATATAGGTCAAAGCCATTTAAGTCAGATGGACATGAAGTGGACATTTGCCTGGTCTTGTGTAACGCTTCAATATGTATAAATATTTGTGTTCTCATAAACAGACGTGTTACAGTCTATTGTTTTACTTTTCTAATGTGGTCACTTTATACGTGAAAATTAGTTTGTCCTGTAACAAACTTCACCTTACGTCGGACGTTGCAAGTGAAAATGAAATACAGATAAGTCTAGATGCCTTCAAACTGATGTAAACTGTAAATTCTAACAAATGTTGAAGATGACAGGAATACAATATGACTTTGATGTAGGGTTCTTACGGTGTTATGTGTTTAACCTTACAGCTCCATAAACTTCTCATGTGAATCATGTTGACCCTCATATGGGCAACTCGCCAGCATGGTATCCCCTTACATCGTCATAGTTTAAAATGAAGGTGATATATTGCGAATTACAACAAGCTAGATTTTTTATTGTCAGTAGGTAAACTGTAAACAATAATAATAGTTCTAAAATAAGCAACGGTAAACAATCGTTATATCTACATTTGTTTTGCAGAAGATGTCCGAAATCAACAAATCATTACCATGCCAGATATATCTGGTTTATTTGGATACAGGTACAGCAGGTTGTTAAACCCATGCATCTTTTTAAGACCAGTAAAATCGTAGAATTAATCTTGGATTGAGGTTTCCATTGCTATGCTGTGATAAATGGAGGGTGTTTTCGGACTTGTATTAAGTAGTACATATCATCTATAATATGGTTTTATTTAATTTTCAGCATTCGATTTTATATCTAACTTCCAGTTAGATAAGGCACGTGATCTCAGAATAAGGGGTGTGACGCGCACGCGTGGATCTAATACATACCAACAAGCATATAAACTCAAACGAACGGCAAAAAAGAAGCAATTATCCGTAGCTACAAGGTAAAACCAATGGAAAATCTTTTCTGAATATTTTATAAAATATCATTTAATTTTGAAGTTGCCATTATCCATTTCTTTATGTATTTGTTATTTGTACCGTTTCTACATAAAGTGTTTAATTATGACTATATTTGTATTGTTTGAGAAACTATTCCACTTACCTGATGTCCCTTGATATATAATGTCCAATAGTATGATCCTAATAATTTTACTGGTGCTTTGCTCGATTTCGTTGTATTGTGAAGTCCTTTTTCGATGTCTGTATGATTATCCCCTAGCTTCATTAAGGGTTTCAGTATTATGCTCCAGTTTTAAGATACAGTTCTGTTAATTGGCACATGCTTTATCTATTTCAATATTACTGAATAAAGTTGAAGTTTTTTTGTTTGTTTTTTTTTTTTTTTTGACAAACTGGTCATTCGAGATAAAAATATTTTCTTTTTCTACTACTAATAGTACATCATTTTGATCTGATAATGTCCATACTTCTTTTATTTAAATGAATTAAAGTATTACAGTTGTAGTTCCAAATTTAACATGACACAACTTGTACTCTTTTTCAACACACAAAATGGTAAACAGAACGATGTTTCCCCTGGGAATGCCGGACGAATTTTCCCTTGGAGCCACGTATAGATTACAGGGATTAGCCAGACGGATGGTGTGGAACATGGTTGACTTTCAGAGTTCTCGTGGACAGTCAGAATTCGCCCTTAGGTTCGATGCCCCGGCAAAACAAATTGCGCTTGTTTTCCAAAATGCTCGTAACACCCAAACGGCTTTAACATTCGACAACCGAAATGTTCGAAAGGTCAGCAGTTTAATAAGCAAACTAATACATACATGTAATATAGAAGTTGTACAACGAATGTTGTGACTCTTTATTGTTTTGGGATCATTCCGGTTCTTGACAGTCAGCTCAAATATTGCTATTTCGGCATCCTTTATTACTTTACCTTTTCATTACGTTATGCACTTTCTCTTTGTATATACTATCTTATATCGTTTTTTTTTATATGTGTCCTTAGGCCTTTAACAACCAGTGGCATAAAATCCATATCAAAGTCACCCGCACCTTAACAACGCTTTTCATAGACTGTCAGGATATCCAGACACTGCCTATGGTGGCGAGGTCACAGGTTGACATCAACGGTGATATCGTTCTAGCCCAGCCAGTCAACGAACTCGATGGAAGAACAGTTCCGGTAGGTTAGCAAAATACGGCGTGCAAAACATATATCTGTGTAATTCAATGAAAGTATGAGAACGCTTTTTCGACCACGTTTATTTGTATTAGGATAAGTGCTGATATTTTGTCTCTTGGAGACATTCATATTCACATATACTACAATAATATTGTAAAGACGCGATGGTATCCGTCATCTGGTTTGAATCATCATCAATTATAGACACTAATATATTACACAGTCTTCAGAATATTTTCTTAATATGTTATTGGTTACGTATTCAGTAGAAATGAACGAAATGTAACAATATCATGAATCACGATTTTCTTACAAAGTACGTTGTCAAAACATCAATATTCGAATTAATTAAAAAAAAATCATGATAATGCGAATGACATAGAAAAAATGCTGATTCCTTAAAGTTGTTTTTAGTTATATAGGTTTAACGTCAAATAATACATTATTTATCAAAGAGTTATAATTTTTTCATTGTCATAGCACTCTTTGCAATATTTTTATTACACACGTGTAGTAGTACCTAATAGAGCAGTGATTGGCTGAAGATTTCCATTGTTTTCATTATGACGTCATAATTACATGGTATCATAAGCATTTTGACGTCACCAAAGACAGAACTAAAGACTGAGAATATCACCAACTTAGATAATTTTATCTTTCTGACTCCACGAATGTTTGTACATGTATTTATGTTGAACGACCAACAAAATCTTACATTTGTTTCAATTGTAAATAAGATTTACGAAACTCAAGACAATGTTTTTCTTTAGTCTCATCAGATGTTAAAAAAGCAGACTCGAAAGTCGTGAAAGGTCCTGTTATTCCGTTGCTTTTCCTTATTTTGCAGTTTGAGCTCCAGTGGCTAGTCATTCACTGTGATCCGTCTAAGCACCAGCGTGAAAACTGTGACGAACTTCCGGTATGATTATCGAGTTTAGAAAACAAATCCTGTCGTCTGATGCAGTCTTTTTGATGCATTTACATCATAATCGAGACATTCTTACATGATTTTGAAATCTATCTATAGCTTGCATTCTGCAGCTATTCTTTTCACAGATATTTATATGCTTTATGCAAACTTGCTTTAAATTCTTGGTTTTTCGTAATGATCGATTTTTAAGATACACAAGTCCCTTTGTTATATTTTTGAACATTCGTTTTATAGATCTACATAGTTTCGGTGTTTTTTTTCCTTGTTAAATCTGCTTCAATGGTGATTGTTGATGATTAATTTTATGATTTTCACGATGTGTTTAAATATAAACTTCAAAACAGCCAGTAGATTGGCTACGGATGGCCTATGCCATTCGTCATTAGGTAACTTGCATGGAGGCAATGCATGAATGGTGTTGGTGGTAAAATATGGTGTCAATTTCTTCTCTAGAGCGACACAAGAAACTACATGAACGAGCAGGTACAGTTCCGGTTGCTTGTGCGCATGCGTGATGATATATGATAACGTAACATTAGAGTGCTCGCATTTAACATACCATCCCTGAAATGTAATTGATATCTATCGAATATGTATCAGTTATGCCTTTTCTTTTACTCTCCTTTTTTTGTGGTTTCCTTTGCATTTGTACAGATAAAAAATTTGACTAAGATACGGCAGCAAGTAGTGAGTTTGCACTGCGCACTATTGTTAAACACTGCACAATTTAAAGCACAGTGATGAAATTAAATATTTATTCCGTCATCGTCGGGAGCTTTATTAACGTCAATTTATGGTGGTAAATTGGCATGGCGATGCTTAAAGTTAATGACACGTGTTGTTTCATATCTTTTTCATGGATTTCAATTACAAAGAAATAATTAATTTACAATTCAGAACCCACGACAAAGCATACAGTACAGTTTGTCTATTGACGATAATGAAGCTCCTACACGTCAATATCAAATGCTATATGTTTCATTTTATCCTTCGGCTGAGGTATATAAACGTGTAAGTGTGCTCTATGCCTGGTAAAACAATAGCAGCTGCTGATTTAAATACTATGCAAGACAATCATGCATGGCAATATATATATATATATTTCAATCTCACATCGAGGCAGTCAACACTAGGTTTTATCACTCAAAATAGCTTACAGAACGTTTTTGTATTTGTTCAAGACATCATTTTTCTTTAACTATAAACATAGTGCTAGACATATGGCGCAACCTGTAAGATATGTAACTAATTATGATATAATGTCTGGTGCGTTTTACAGACTATCATTCGATGCAGATGAGTTCATCAGATAGTTCACATAATTGTCTAGGATAACACCCACTCAAGTACGAATGTAACATTAAATGCTCCTAATGCCTTCTATACATGTGCCCCTGTTTATATCCTTTCAACTCTGATCCCAGTATTCTAAATCGCTATTCAAGCTTATCTAATCGTACTTTCTAATTTAAAACGTATGTATATGTTGATTTCTAACTTTCTATTAACTGCTTACGTTCCAAAACTTTATCTCCTGTGTGTATTTGTATGTTATTTAAGTTCAACACATTTTTTGAAAGATTTTGAAGTATAATATTTCGAGTTGTAACCTGACAAAGCTTTTATCAAGAACACGGCTAACACAGGGGTGTATAGCATACAACCTTTTTAGCCTTTCGTTACTTAAGAAACGTTTATCGCCTTCGTAAATTACGTCAGATGTTTAAGGAAGTTCCTGGATTCCCGATCTCGTTTTTAGAATGGCAATGCATGCGAAGTATCAAACATCGACTTATACCAATTAATACTAAATGTCCATCACACGAAGAGGAAATCTATAACTGGATGAATATTTTTGGAGTTACTACATAGCTAGAGTGGAATTTGAAGGGAATTGAGTGCAGATATTTAACTATTTTTTTCAGATGGCAAAAGATTCATCCTTTTATAAAAAAAAAAAACATAGAAATTTAAAAATAAACGACAAAAAAAACTCTCCTACATGAGTAGAAACTGGTGTTACTTATTTGTCAGTAAACATCCAGGTTAATGGTGTTGCTTATGCTTCAATATACTACATACAGGTACATTTCAGTGACAAATGTCATCTTCGCAGATATATCATTGATGTTCAGAAAATATATATTTTAATACATAGTTCTGATATTACCTAGTCACCAACATGGTATGTTTAAGGAAAAAAATTGTTCTATGAAATATAAAAAACAGTGCAGTTAAATAGATGATTGTTCAACCTTGCTTTTTTTTAAACAGGACAACAGATTGCGGTATTTAACAATTTTTAGTATTATAAAAGCAATGTAACCGTTTTACACAATATCTATATTTGTGTATAAATGTGTTTTATTTGATGTATTGGTAAATCTGATATATATCTTATATACAGTTCTATATTATATATAATATAATACTTCTGTAAGATTATCATAAATTTTAAATTACCAACGTAAGTCGTAAAAGTGATAATTATCCTGTTAAAATAAACTTTTAATTGAATATTTTCTAATTTTTTATTGATTCTATATTTGTAATGTGTAGATTATCAATAATATAGTTTTGGTTCAGGTTCACGCATATATTAGCAATAGAAGTAATAATAGTGTATTTATTTGCCTGCATAGATCACCATTATCTATTAAACGAATATCCTTCTATGTAATGAATATTATCGTTTAATTTAATTTACATATAACACATGTGTATGTAGAACTTTGTTGTCTACACAGAGAAGAGGGGACATGGGCTGTTCGGTACAGTGTCCAGCAGGACCACGTGGACTTAACGGAACAAATGTAAGAATATTTATCGTTATGCATCAAAAGCAATACAAGTTTATATTCAAACTATGTTCTTATAAGTTTATCTTTTCAATGAGGAATATTAAACAGGAACATGCATAAGTCATTATTGACATGGACAGAAACTATTCAATGTGGTCAAGCAGTTCAAAGAAAACTGCGGATTATGTATGTTTTATTTACTTGTACTTTTGATTTAAGGGAGCTCCTGGCCGAAACGGTCGTGACGGTCTGGATGGAATTGACGGTTTAATGGGTCCCAAGGGAGATTCAGGGGAGCGGGGCCCAGCAGGTCGGGACGGGAAACCAGTAAGTGCGCAAAATCTTTATAAAGTAGTCAGTTTTCTTGACAAATATAATTTTATTGCAAAGAATGCGTATTTTTGGTATCTACAGTGTAATCTGAAGGTACGTTATATGATATGTAAATAGACAATATAAAATTACATTAAAATTAACTGTTTATCGAAAATCATCTCTTGAGTTGAATTGTATCTCATCAGGGAAAGGCCGGAACTCCAGGTAAAACAGGGCCTCAGGGTCCGAGAGGTTCCGAAGGTCCACAGGGAGATGACGGTATTGCGGGTGAGCCTGGAGTGCCCGGTTTGGATGTAAGTAAAAAAGATAGTATACTATGATATTTTTAAAAAGTTTTGTTATTGGAAATATATATATATATATATTGATGTATATCAATCGTTATACTTTTACAAATAGTTGTGAATAGAACGCTATCAAGTTTTGTATATTATTGAATTCAATTATTTAGAAAGTGATGTTTTTCTACTATCTCTGTATTGAATTATAGAGATATCATGTGATCCAAATATCCGTTTACATGTCATATTAACTTGTAGGGAAAAGACGGTTTGCCTGGGGACATTGGACCTCCCGGAGAAAGAGGTGAAAGGGTAAGTAGTATAATCTACGAAGTTGCGAACCCTCCTCCTCCACCCACCCCAAACCCTTTATCTCAGCCCCTTTCATCCCTAACCCTAAGCCCCTTCATACCTAGCCATATCACCTATAGCCTCCCTTACCCCGAGTCCCCTTCACGTCTAGCCCTCTTATCCCTAGCTCCAAATCCCAGTCCCATTTAACATAGACCCCTTCACTCCCGTTCAGACAATTCCTTGAAAAGTATGTTTGTAACATCATCTTTTGAACGATAGTCACTTCTACTTAATCGTCGACACTCGCTATTTAACATTAAAATAGACTGAAAGTATACTGAATATTTTAAATCGTTGTGGTTTTAATCGAAAATCCTATAGCTTGGGCTTACTCATGATATAACATGTCTGATTTCTTCCCTTAAATAGGGACGAGAAGGACAGCCTGGGGCCCCAGGTATACCAGGGAAAACCGGCAGACCCGGAGAAGGTGTAAGTGTTCAAACATTTATTGTAATTCAACAACTATCTGCTTTACGAGTTCATGTTGAAACATTTCTTTGTTTGAATGTTTCATAATAATTTGCGCTTCGAGATAGAATTCTGACCAAAGAATGGTGATTATAATCAAATTAAAATATTGACATGACCCCTAACGCATGATAGGATGAGCAATATTTTATGTTCATACAAAAAAAAGTGTTGTGTATTAATTATGACATTATCACGTCCTTAGGTTGTTGGACCAATGGGACCCGAAGGTCCACAAGGTGCCCCAGGTCAACAGGGTACACAGGTAAGTGTCAATCATATATCACTTAATACTTAATCAAATGTGTATTGCAGCTATAATTTCGTCTACCATAACGATTATTTTACCTTTCACGATAATGACCCTTGAATATATTAGGTGTTTTGAAATCATTCCTTCATCTCTCAGTCCAGCAGGATATTACCTGACAGAATTTGATAAACATATGTAGCATTTTTATAGTTATTTATTTCATATTACTTGTAAGCTGAAATTTATGAATTGTTTTTAGGGTGTTGTGGGACAAAGAGGTGAACGAGGAGAAAAGGGAAATCAGGTGAGGTCAGCTGTTATAAGAGTTCATTCAAAAATGGATAGAAAATCTAAAATAAGTCACATGCAAATGTATTGTACAAAAATTACAATTTTATCATAGCTTATTAAAACACACGATATGTGGCCTTTCTGAAAACTGATCTTCCTAACCATTTTCTCGCCTTTGGAAATGTGTTGTAACTTTAACAAGTGGAATGCACATGTATTGCGGACAAGCCGTTTCCATTTGATAATATTTTTGAGTAGAATTGACTGCATGTAAACAATTGGACATGAACTATCAAAGTCTTTAAATAAACTTAAAGCTTTCATTTCATTATATAAATGTTTGTCGCACCTTAAACCGAAAAAGAAAAAGAAAATAAAACCAGGTAATGAAATGAAAGCTCATATGTAAAAAATATTAAGCACTCCTGCCGATTGGAATAGCTTACAAAAATAAGTCTTTTTTATGGTTTTGTTACGCTAATATCAATTAAAGAAAAACACGTTTGATTAAAACAAGTCTGTTTTCTTGGCACATTGTAAAGCGTATATCTGACATGTTGATCACTTTAAACAGAAAACAGGTGATGCCAATATCAGAATGATCATATCCATGCCGGTATTTGGCACACAGTTTAAAGTCAGCATTAGGTGTTTTTGTTTATTAATATAACATATTTAATGTCCTTTTTAATGTGCTACAACAGGTTAACTTTAAACGTAGCAGGTATTAATTGCCAGTTCCATTGAATTCTCTGTAACAGATTCGATGATTAAACATAGATTTGAAATAGGATGAAAAACAGGTAAAGCATGCTGGATTTTCACTCTGATGGTTCGTTTCAAGATTATTTTTTTTTCAAATATTGACTTTTTTGCAAACTGTCAAAATACTTATTAAATCAGCATTGCACAAGGAGAATGTGTGGTCTATTAAAAGTTTTCCCAATCCTACATGTATATTATCGATAGCCAAGAACCAAGTCCATAATATTTTTTTTTCAAAAAAGAAAAAAATAGTAATAATAATTATTAAATAAATGAATAAGAAAAAGAATCATGATTACTCGTATTTGTTTTATATTCCTTCTATGGATGATACTCCAGGCTTTTTAAATAGAAATTTAGGTATATCATTTTCATGTTTAATAAACTAATGATATTGTTCTTAACCTGTTATACTCGAGCGGCTTAAGACATGAGTTTTTTGCACTATTAGGAACTGAAAAATTGTTGTAACCGAAGCGGTTCGTTAAAATGCTAACCTCAGCGATCCTAAACGGTAGTATCGATACATCTTTGGTGTAGAAGTTCATGTCGCGACCCTTGTTATCTAATATACTAACACAATCATTAAGTCCCATATATGTCCTTTGATCACAGAGCGTATTAAAACAACATTGTACCACAATGTAATGTAACCATTTACGACCTAATACAGTAGTAATACTATTCATTAAAGTGGTATTACAGCATTGTTTACCATGCTTTAGATTAGTTGGTTGAGGGGTGTCACTGTGTCGAGTTCAATGGTAGACAAACCTAATTGCTTCCTCGGAGGTGTTAAGTACCATTTTATGGGTTGAAAGTGGACATACCTGTCTCGTAAATTCCGTGTCTCTATAAGACTCGTGATCATTACTGTTTTAAAACAACGATTAGTTAATGGCTTTATGACCACCGTTTCTGAATTCATTATCATTTAGTTACAAAGTTTTTGGTACTATTTTAACGATATCTGTAAGCTATCGCCACAGTTTGGAATATCTATGACACAATCCTCATTGTCAAAGATATTTTGGTATGCATTACTGAAAAAGTTTTTTCCAAGCCAGGTTGAGTAACTCAGATATGATGATAAAGTACAACTGTACAAAAATTTAAGATAATATCTGAAAGAATGAACTAACTTAATGAACAATTTATCTGTCTCTACCAATGATCTTCAGAAAGTCTCAGGATAATCCTTTCTGTTTGTCGGAATATTACTTGAACGTGATTTCTCACACTAAAGTTTAAGCTGACCGACATTACAGTCACATGATCCCTTTTTCTACGACGGGCTACTGTAACTAGCGGAATTTGACGACTTAATCAGTCATTAAAATGTTACATGTATCACTTTTAATGCAATTCTATGGAAACTCCACACTTTAAAAAGCGTTTTTATTATTCTACAACTTGACGTATTTATTCGGTCATAAAAGAAAGCATTGGCTAATTCACCTGGACAAATTTATGTGACACCGGAGGTTCTCATTGGATATCTGTCAGATTAATTACTTTTGTATGTTGATGTGTAAATCATGTACAGTTCATTCTGTATAGCATGGTATCAAAAAGTCGGAAATAAATAAATAAATAAATAAATAGGTAAAACCAACGAATACTCAGACACAAACAATTGTACTCCTCAGTACAAGATGGTCAAATTTCAGTAAGATGCTACATTTAATAATATCGTTCTGCTGTTCCAATTGAATACATATTGTAATATTTACCTTTTGTTTATAAATAATTTGATTTGACAGGTAAACGTCTCATGTTGACCTCAGTGTTTGATAGGACATCTATTAACTATGATGTGATATTCAACAATATGACCCTAAGTGACTTGTACACAAATGGCAGATTTATGACTCCTGTTAAACCGTAATTACAGGAGTGTTTTTTGTATTAAGTGTAATTGAATTGCTGACAGTTTCGAGTGATTACAAACTGGACCTGTAGTTCTATCCACATGGACTTCATGCCCTGTCAAGTCGCATCACGTGATCGCCATTGTCCTGGCGGATATATCTATATCTGATAAAGGGTGGGATACCCTATACAGCGAGCAGAGTATACGATAACCATTTGACGGTCTTAAATTATCAGCGTTTGAATAGAGACGGGTTTGACTTATTTTCGTTACGTATTGTTAAGTTTCAAACCACAATACAAATTGATGTGTCGTTGAGTGAATTAAGAATGACATATATATATATATATATCAATGATAATGCCGTACACGTCTGTGATTCAAAGCATGTGGAATCGTTGCATGATATGATATGTTCTGTCAACGGGAGTCCATAATGGGTTGTGACAGATAGAAGCACTGAGTGATGTCCATAAATCCCCCATTTAAAACTTAGAGGCCGCTGTAAATGCCAGAAATGTTAGCTGTTGACTGTATTATAGAAACACATAGCGAACGAAAATAGGTATGATTAATGTCTCTCCTTACAGAACGACTTTCTCGAAGTAGAGATTCTATCTTAAACGATCGCGACATCTATGTAGTTCAAAAACAATTTACATTTAATAGACATTTCATCTCCCGTGAATAGATATATTATACATCAAATGTGAAACAGGTGTGCTTTTTTCTGTTATCAAACGCTTATTTTTTTGCAATGTCATATTTGATACTAAAAATGTTTTAAAAGATAAGGTCTCGTGAAAATTGATCCCAATTAAGTTAATTCTTCAAAGTTGAAGGATCGTGAAATAATTTAATGCTTGAAAGCAAAGTGTAACTGTTACAATATTGAATTTTACGTCAGAACTGTATATCTGTTTCAGGGTGAACGGGGACTGCAGGGCGATCCTGGGGAGCAAGGGCCACGAGGTTTCGATGTAAGCCAAACCAAACGTTTTCGTTCAATGTTATTCTGTAGTTACTCATGCTAACACAGCTATTGGTTCAGGAATACCTAAATACTATTGTTATTTCGGTTTTTTGTTGTTGTTATCTTTTCCTACCGATGTTCTTGTTTGATTTTTCCCCTTGTCTTATGCATTTCTGATTTTCGACAGGGTGCTGATGGAGTTCCAGGGAAACAGGGTATTCAAGGCCCTCCCGGACCACCGGGACCAGCGGTACGGCTAACTTAAATTACATTTTTTTTATCTGAAATTGGATATCATTAACTCAATAAGAGAACCAACATGTACAAATGAGGAGAATTTATAGGTAATGTTTTCTTTAGTAAGACAGCATTTTGTCTCGAGAGAGAGAGAGAGAGGACAACATATTAACAATGGCTTACAAAACTTTTGTCATTCCTTAGATAGCTTAAATGTGTGGCTCGTTAAACAACTTGAACGGAAAGTAAAATACCCGATTGTATAGACACGCAGTAGTCAATACAGTCTTTGTTCATTCCGATTCGGCTTATATCCCTTAAATTACCCGGAAAGTAGTTCAAATACCACAGATATGATATAATGCGAGTTTAGACTATAATTAATTACGTCGTTCCTTTAGGGCTAGTAAACCATTGTTAAGAAAGTTCAACTTTTTAACGACATGATGACATTCCAACACGGTGAAACGTGTGTATATATATATATAGATTTGAATTTCTATAAATATAAACAAAATCACAGTATCCGGTCAAATATATCAAAGTAAAAATTGAAGAACTGGTAAGGTGACAATGTATCTAGGCATATTATGTAGTCAAGCATAATGAAGATTCAGAAATGAAAGCGTAAATTCTTAAATCTACGTCTTCCTCAAGTTTATTTATAACAAAACGAATAAGCGTCACACACACAACATCACTTCGGATGTCAAGATCCCTGTGATAGCGATGTCAGTAATTGGCAACGCGTATTTCTATATATAATAGGCAATTTAGACAGCAGTCACTCTCTAGATAGTGTAAATGTAAATTTGTCTCTTTACACAACCGTAAAATTCAAAATTCTCTTCATACAAAATAAAAGACTAGATAAAGCAGAGATTTACTTTTATCGATGTTTAAAATCTTGTTGACACCCGATGATATGACCAAGTCGATCTTGTGATTTACTCCGAGGACCAGTGTGAAAGGAACCGTATGATTTTGTCAGCATGCCTGCCTTACTTTGACGTTTTGTGTAACATATACGTGGATCTCCATTGTTGATCGGCTGACGGAGTAATCTGACAATGAATTGATAGATCTGGATCATCCACAAATGCCATTTTACACGTTACAATAATCAGCGAAACGATTTCATTCTTTTATACACAGGGACAGGTTCTTGAACCAGATATGTCTAACCACATTCCAGTAGAGGTAAATATAGTCGTAATTCTACAGACGTCTTTTCGTATTATTATCGGTTGATAATTTAACTAATTTTTTATATTATATTATATATTATATTGTACTATATACTGAACAAGTAATGAACAATAACAAAATGATATGAATCTCTCTGTCTGATGTTTTGCCATTAATGTTACTATATTTGAATTACAAAACCAACGAGAGACACGATTTCAGTAAACGTTTCCCCTTCATTTTTAATTCTACAATTTGCAGCATCGTTTAACACATGGTTGTATGATAATAAACTTACCACTGTTATCTCTATAGGGCCCGGCTGGACCAATGGGACCCGCTGGACCACAGGGAGATATAGGGCCAAAGGTGAGCCAATCATTTTCATAATGAATGACGTTTATCGATGGGTGAATGCAGCTAGAGATAAACCTGGCCTTTTTTTATAGGAAAATATTGATTATAAATTCAGCTGGTTTTACAACATTCTAGAATTATTAGTTAAATTTAGACAATGAACTTTTTCGTTCAGTCTCAGTGACTTAGGACACTCGAATTGCGGTTGAATATTTGACAAGGTAATGTGAGTGAAAGAAAATACAGATTTTAGATGAAAAGAAGACGTTGAAAATTTCAAAATTATTTTCCCGAGTCAGTTCAATGACAAAAATTGTTAAATAAATCTAAATCACTATGTGTTATTTCTAATTTACGTGTTATTTTCCAGGGTAACAAAGGAGAACAAGGAGAAGAAGGGAAGAGAGGACTTAAGGTACACAAACATTCTGCCAACAGAAGTATTTCCATATATGTGAAATATAGATAGCAACTGTTGTTTATTCATGTTGTTATTTATCTATAACTATATGTCTTTTATTAACCTTTGAGAAGTACAGATTTAGTTTTATTAATCTTAATTTATGATTGTTATCTAAATAATATTGCATTTTATAGAGCATGTGTTCATGTTTTACTTTGTATAGGGTGACAAAGGAAATGATGGCCCTATGGGAATGTCTGGAATTGACGGTATCCCGGTAATAACTTTTATTATCATAATCGAATCATTTCTTGAATATGAATAATTGAAGAATTTCAAAAGAAATGTTTTTTGAAGAAAAATGAAAAGAACGAGTTTCTCTGTAAATGATATTACTATCAATTATAAGAGTGAGCTTTTGTATAAAAAAAAGTGTTATATAAAACCGTATTGACATTGTCATGTGACAAACACCGTCGACGTTTTAGGGAGTGGCAGGGGAACCAGGTGTGATAGGACCTCAGGGAAGACCAGGGGAGACGGTAAGCTACATCAGTTTCTGTATTAGGGGTTATTTTGGCATAAACTCCAATTGTTTATTCATTTATTTGTTTATTCATTTATTTATTTGTTAGTTTGTTTGTTTATTTTTGTACATTTGGACGGAGTTGAATTAATTATTGCTATATTTCAGTATACAACACTTCATTGTCAAAAGGGCAAAATTATTACCGCTAAAATATGCGCGCTTACAGTAATATCTTTCTTTATTGAGTTCGCATGATAACAATAAAACTAACCTGATATGCTAACTACGTAAAATAATCTTTGTGTTAAAATATGAAAAGCTATAATAGTCAAGATGATTTCCGCTTCCACATCAGGTGCACTGATATCCCCAGTCACTTCAGCAAAGCATTCTGGTAATTAATTCTTCCTTATGTTAAAGAGAAACTATGCTATATTAAAATATTTTTTCGCTCCCAGGGACCGAAAGGAGAGAGAGGCAATGACGGTTCTGATGGAGAGCAAGGATTACAGGTATGAAATGTGTGAAATGATGTTTCTTTTTCATAAATTGACTTGTTAAGGTAGAATCAAACAAAATTATATTAGTATAAAAGTTCTTAATTTTACACAATAGAATTTCAGCGCATCCTCTCTTTTTTGGTGAATTCATACAATGATAGCTTTTCAATGCGAAAAACGCTTTAAAATATGTAAATATACAGTAATGAAACAACATTTTATTTGACTAACTGGAAAATGATGTGATCAAAAATTGTTGAAGTTAAAAAAAAATAAAACTAATGAAATATTTCACGTGTGTATATAAGATAATTTTATCTATTTCAAGGGTCTACCAGGATTGCAGGGTGAACGAGGAGAGAAAGGAAGCATCGGTCAAAGGGTAATAACTCCATCATAAACGCGTGAAATGCGGACAGGTATTACATTAAATTTTGTAAAGAATGAACGTTACACACTGAAGAGGCAAGTCATCTGATGGCTGAAACGAGATACAAGTTTATATGTTTTAGGGGTATTGCAATAATTTACTCATAAATCTCACGAATCGACAACAAAATTAATGCTTCAAGCACTTGGAACTTTTTATCTGTTTTAGGGACCTCCTGGCCCCCCAGGTGAAGGTTCAATGTTCAGTCGTGGAAGGGAGGACCCGGTATGGAAAGACATGAAGAAACTTTTCCTAGTACTACTCCTTTTCTCTTTTATGCATGATACAAAACGATATAAAATCAGTACAAGTGTCAACGTACAATCTGTATGCTGTAGTGTTCTAGTGGTAGTAGTTTGTAGAATTTGGCATATGCGCGGAACGCAAGCAAAAGATTTTTTTTTTTTTTTTTTAAATCTCGTTTTAATTACGGTAACATTTTCTGCAATTCAGATGCCAATTAAAGTTGATGTGAGAGAAATATTCAAGATAAGAAAAAAAAAACATCCTCTAAAAATGCAGGATTTCATCGAGCTTTATTTTCCGAAATGGATAAAGGGCGATAACTCTTACATGCGTTTTATCAGAATTCATATTTTTATCGGAGTCATTAGATCACTATAATAATAACGTCTTCATTTTTAACTAAATCGTATTTATGTTTTGTTTTAGTTTCTTTTCCGTCGACAGTTGTGCTTTTGTGATATTGTTTAGGTGTCGAGTTATGTTAGAGTCGTATTTCTGTTGTTTTTTTCGGCATCATGATTACTAAAACGATGCGCGCCAATCATCATTGTTATGTTATCATTAAATTATGTGCTTTTCTTAAAGCATATTTGCGTACTCACAAATCAGCATAAGATTGTATTGGAGTAGTACTTTTTTTGTTTAATTTGCAAAGTTAACATGCGAACGCTACCGGGTGGCGCAATCAGCATTTTTGACAGTCCTTTCATGCTTTCAAAAATTCTGTTTAAATCAAACAACCATTGATCAGAAACTACCTTCTGACACATAGCCTGTATATAGACAATGATTGAAATTAAATTAAATTGATATATTTGGGATTTCGATAAGACCAGTAAAACAACGAACTTTAGTCCACCTCTAATGGGCGAAAGTTAAGCTCCCTCGAAAATTTCTCGTGTACAAGTGTACAGGACTTATTTTGAATTACTTTTTTTCCTCTCAAAAATGTGTAATTACAATGAAAGGGCTGTCGTTGCTTGACGTAGCGCATTGCGTTCGTAGTTTCTAAATGATGTTAATATTCGTGTGACGTCTTGTGTCTTAGCCTATCCTGAGATGTGATGGGACTAAATCTCTTAGACATTTACTAAGTTTTCTCTTCTGGATTTGGTAAGTTATTCTTACTTTCATATTTCACCGTTTGGAGAACAGGCTATAGAAATGATAGTTTGAGAGATATGAACGACAGAAAGGCAAACTATGTATTAAGAGTACGGTCAATTTGAGCTGACGTGATCATTATTGGCAATAAAATTGATGAAATTTTCTATTCAAAATTTTATTATTTAATAGAACACAGCTGGACGTGATATGCAGCATATCCAACAGTTACAGTATTAGTCCTACAGTTAACTGTGGTAATATGTAATGAATCACTATGATGAAATTAATTATAGGGACCCCCTGGTAATCCAGGACCACGTGGCCCACCCGGAACCAAAGGAGAAGAGGTAGGAGTCTCACCAGATTTGTAATACTTAGGTCAATTTATAACACACAGCGAATCAATCAGACTTTTATTAGGAATAAATTCTCCCACTTACGTATAGCGATCGAAATGGAAAGTAAGTTTCTAAGCGAAAACATGAATGCTTTTTATTTGTTGAGATAAAGATTTAATATTGTCTAATGAAAGGAAAACATTACCAGTAATAGAAAATTAAAAAATCTTAACGCAATTTCGCATATAAAGTATATGTTTAACTTATGTATGCTATATTTGCTTACAAACACCACTTTGTTTAGTGTACTGTAACAGACAGTTTACCGATTCAAATATCATAAAACAGAAACTCTTTTTCGACATTTAGTTAAGTATTCTTTTGTCGACACTATGTTCTGTCATATGTTAATCTGTTGTACTAAACGGTGTTCGTAACTTTTAGGGATTATCTGGGCCGCCAGGGCCTGCAGGAGAACCAGGCAATGACGGGGAACCTGTAAGTATAGCATTGTATTTAGTGTATATGACATGTATATAAGGCATTCCGTGTGAGTATCCGTTTTCTTTGTTATGAAATAATTTCGAAATGGAATAAAGACTCTTGTTATATACTGGAAAATACTTAGGAGAAAGATTTGTTGCAAAGTTTTGTTTTCCTGTCAGTATCTTGTGACTTCACTTTGCATGTGACGTCATGAAATTGTGTCGCATGATTGAAACGAAGATAATGTCCAATTCTTTCTACCTAAATAACTAATATCGCTACCAAAACAATACGTAATTAGCAGCGTTTTAGCGAGGTTTTTAGTATTACACAAAGTATTTAGCCAACATTGGTTAAATATCTTCACAACAAAGTCAATGCTTTTTATCATTCGCTAAATTCAAATGTGCACAGTTGTGAGCTATACGCAACTGGTGATTTGTCGTAAACCTATCAAAGATTGATAACTTATGACAGACTAATCATAAACTTAGATAAAAAAGATTCAGTTTGGATTTATGATTATCCACTACAGGGTAACCCGGGTTTACCAGGAGAACCAGGTCAATCTGGAGAAATGGTATGTATTTATCTTTACTTATCGAATATGTTATGTATATAAAGTTATGTGCGTTATAAAATTCGAAGTCATATTGTATGACTGAACTTTTTTTTCGAATGGTGTATTTAACTATATATATATATATTAATTTTATAAACTTAATACGTGGTTATATTCATTATAAATCTGATAACTCAGAATTAAACGTTCTTAAATTTGAATATGGTAGCTTTGATTAATATCTTGTACTTTGGTATTGAATGTTTTGAAAAGTCTCATCCTTTCTATTTTTGCAGGGCCCTGTTGGAGATCGTGGACCAATGGGCGATACAGGATCACGTGGTCTAATGGTAAGTGGTGATACGAGAATACTAACATGTCAAAAAGGAGTAACGTTCTTAAAAATAGCATCTGGTGAAAGTTTGAATATTCCAAAATATTAAACAATCAATGCAGCATATTACAACTACTATAGTTGTGGCAACTAACAATGCATCAAAACCTTTGTACGCACTCACGCATGATACAGTATCGTGCGCAAAATTGTGCGATATAGTATCGTGCGCAAAATTGTGCTATAGGATAGCACATTTTGTGCGGTTTGGTAAAAATGTTTGGCAAATATTACGGATTGAAAATTAAACGGAAAATTCGTGAAGTTATTACTAAATAGCGATCACATGAACATTAAAATTGATCGGTTTTTAATTCGACAAAATAACACTGGACCTGCATTGATAAGTCTTATCATATATAGTTTCACACCTCAGAAAGTTACGAGTAGTAATGCCACGTGACGGGTCCGGATCCACATCGGCTGGGTCGGCGATATAACAAACACATCACTTCAGATTTACAAGAGCATGTATTTGTTGTTTACAAAATGAATGAAACATGAGAGTAGTACAGAAGTAATGAAAATACAATTTCCTTTCTGACGGTATGATATTTTCAATGATTCATTCCTGTGACATAAAGTCACGTTCACTTGATGTTTACGTATATATTGTATATATAATATGTGTCCGTACACTAAGGCTGGTCATGTGTGGCACTTTATAAACAAAACACTTAAAATTACGAGTGTATCTAGCTATTCTGTGTATCTGATATATCTACAAGTGTCAAATCTATATGTATGGCTTAATTAGGAAATATACTAAGTTGCATTCTTATATATTTAGAAAATAAATAAACCCTATCCCACACTTATTCACTAGTCATTTCTAAATGTATACCAACTACGATAGAATCGCACATTTGTACGATAGAACCTCACAACATGCACACAAATGTGCGATAGCTTATTTTGTCCAATTTTCCTATCGTGTACACATCGTGCGCTCATCGCACACCGTGTAACTTTGTGCGACCCCACAACTGTACCATGATAAAATTATCTGAATGACGGAATAAAAAATAAGTGCGTTCAACCAAGGATATACATTTTTTAATGAAACAAATGTGATAAGTTAACAAATTAAACTACGGTTCTAGAAAAAGTTGATATCAAGTATCTGAATTTTAATGAAAGAACATGCAACATCGTCAAAATAGATCCAGTTATAAAGCACTACGGATCAGCAAGTCAAGTTTAATTTGATATAAACAAACTATTAACAATTTCACTAATGTTTTTATCGATAGATAACCTGTTTATAGATGTGACCTTCGCGTGACTTTCTTATATAAGTATGTTTGTGTACTAAAACGATATGGGTGTAACATGCATTTACGTCCAAGTTAGGACTTGGATGTACTGTGATATCCTTAAGGTATTGGATACGTTCCACTGTCTAAATCAATTGCCAAATAGATAGCACTAACTCACCCTTTTTCAGTCTGTTATTACACTATTCAGAGTCATTCATTTTTCAATAAAAGATAATTAGACAAAATACCCAATCGAAATTAGAATCAAATTTCTCTTTTTAATTTGTCTTCATTAACTAGTTCCGTGTGACGAAGTGCAGAAAATAAAGTCACTTAAGACGTGTGATTTTACATATCTTGAGGATAAGGATTCTCTTTCCTTTTGGTGCGGTTTAGTTACTAATTTGTCCAGTGTTGTATAGAAAAACTTGTATGTCTTTTGTACAACATGTATCATACGATCACCTCTCTCCACACAGTCTGTAAGCTTTCCCTTATAGTTCGAAATATACTCAACTTGCATGCCACGTTTGAATTCATTCGAATAGTGGGTCGGTTCAGAATAAACGCATGTTGTTGATATGAAAATTAAGAAATGTATTGATTATTGGGTCAGTGCACCTACCCTTCTTGATTTTTACTTTCCTTTAGATGTTCTTAAACCGTCTCTTAGGAGTAAAAGACCCTTACCATCAATGACGAGCCCTAGAAGCACTTAACATCTGTATGATGCAGTTTAAGTCACTGTTTGGCTCTGTGGTGTCTAACTAAATTTGTATTAAATGTGCTATTCACTTGTGTGTTTTTAACAGTCTGAAATCTTTGATTATTTGATTTATCGCCTCGATATCAACCACGGTCGTTTAGAGGCGGGTCTCATTGTAGTAGATGGCCCTATCTATACAGTACACATCATCCGTTATGTAAGCCGTATTCTATCAAGAGCAGTGTGGCATGGTGTCTTGAAAAAGGACACAACGACGACACCGTTTCATCTTTCTTCGAAACACTGTCTTAGTTAGAAGGATATAAGCTCAGCTCGGATCTTCATTTAAGCTTACATTAGTCTTACTCTCTGCCGTGGGAGCCAAACGCATTCGACGTACATTTAGATTTTACACTAAATACATATTGATTACTGTATAGTCCGTTATTATCGGTGGGGATATATTTGCTATTGCGCGGGCCACTTGCGTTTCGTCCGCGATATCAGCCGCATTTCATGCCTATTGCCATAAAGTAAATGTTCCATGACTTATTCTCTTTGAATCATACTAATGTTTAAATGACATTCAGCTATCACGTATTTGATACATGACATCGCACGCAATATTTGCCAAAAAATGTGTCCGTTTATAATCAAATCACAAAATTTCAGCTCGTTAAAATTTGTTTTCAATAAAAATCGAGAAAATGCTTGGTTCGCAAAAATTAGCAGATTTGCAGTTTCTGAAATGTTACAAAATCTTTGTTTTATACCTTTGCTGAAAGTCTGGCAAAATTCTCTGCTTTGCAATTGTTCGACGGAACTTTACAAGTAATAAATTTTAATATCACAGAGGTATCTCGTTAAGCCTTCCGTGAACTTTCCATAGGAAGAAGATTAAGATCTAATTGTATGTAGACATCTGTAAGCGCAGAATGCGGATGTGATCATAATTGGACAAAACGATCTGAGGGTCTTTGTGTGGGTTTTTGACCTAGTAAAGTAGACATGGGATAATGACTTGGTTTTTTGATAACTGTTTTTTAGTACGAGTTCACAAAGTTGTCTTTGTGAGGTTGAGGAAATTCAACATAATTGTTCAGTAACATAACTATTCGTATAAGTGATAAATTTTCAGGCAGTTTCAATAGCAAAACGTTTTTGGATAGTTGGCAAAGCTTTTTAAAATAGGGTGCAGGTTAGATAGAAAATAATCAGCTCACAAAAAAAAAAAAAAAAAAAAGATCATCAAATTGAAAAAAAAATTCTCACTTTATAGATAATAACTTATTCTTCGCCAATTCTTGATCTATATAAACGTAAGAATGAGGCAGATTTTGATATTATTATGATGACATGTCTGTCGTCAAAGATAGAACAAATTACACAGAAGAGAATAAAATATTTATGAAGCAGCAAGTAAATATTCACATGATACCAAACTGACAATGCTTTAACAACCTGGAAAAACATTTCTGTATCAAAATAACTGTAACGAATCGCTCTATATAGCTCGTTTGAGTATCAAAACAGTACAAAAATAGTCGAGAGTAAAGCATGATTTACTCTCGTTTTTGTCGTTTGTAATAATTTGCCAACGACTTTTTTGAATGCATTCTCAGGTTTGTGAAAAGATTGGAAAAAGAACGATATCAAATAACATTTGTCAAAAAGGTTGAAACATTACAGATGACATTATGGTGAAGTTTTTAATTTATAACTAATGTCAAAGGATGATAGATATTTCTTTATTAACAAATTTTACGTAATTTGATCAATGCTTTGGACAATCCAGACGGTTTTATGCGATAATGATGTGAACAGGAAGGAGATGTAACTTAATTACATTTTGCGTGTTGATATAGAAGTTTTTCGACTGATGAAATATAGCTTTTACGATTTTACTGGATGTAAAAATAGGTTCGATATTTTCACTAAATCTAACCGGTCGGATCATACGATATATACTGAAAGCACAAAATTCTCTCACAGTGCTTTGCGGTACCTGGGAACGACCACTTTAGAAGAGATTGTGAAAACATACATGTAGTCTTTCAAAATGGGAGGAAACTATCGTTTCACTCAAAGATGTTTTTTTATTAGTTGATTAGCTAAAACACAAACTTTGACCAACGCGTCGTTAATTATTCTTTCTCGTCCTCCATGTTATAAAATGCAAACAACTTCGGCTATTTTAGGCATTTGATACTACGCTAGCCAATGTGACTGTCGGCAAAACCAAAAGTATTACAAGGGCACAGGTTTTTGGCAGACTCTAAGAGTTCGTTATTAGTGTTCTTAAAAATGATGTTATAACATCGGATAAATACAAATTGAGGTCAGACTTGCTATTTTCTCAAATTTCGTGTATGCTCCCAGCCTATTGATAGTGTAAACATACAATTATGCTGAGTTAGTTTTGGCTCGCACACAGTCCATTAATTAACCCATTTCATGACCGGTACATTTTTTCATCTGTTTACATTCAGTTTTCTATATACAATAAACTACACAAGTTGAATGACAGATTTATAAATGTTTTTATTGATATGCAAAGTTTTAAAATGCTTTGAAGAATCAAAAACCAATGCCGAAGAACACTTCCTGATGAGGGAAATAAGCAAACGTACGCAAAGCAAAGCACGCAAAGTGAGCAAGGTGGGAACATACGCAAATTACACGAATATGCTTCAAAATCAATTTATGTAGTTTTCAAAACATTGAAACTGTTTTTGAAAAATAAAAAATGCTTCAAAATAGAAAAAACAGCAAATGTACGCAAAGTACACACTTCAGCAAGTGAGCGACGTGTACTATGCTGTATATGATTGAAAATGGCGATTCCATGGCGGGAATTTTGTTTTGTTAGATATACATAACGGTATAGGTTAAATGTGTTATAGAAACAAAGATATACTTAATACAATATTCTTATATATACATGTATATAAATGTAAGATCCAATCCAATAGGCCAAACATGGGGTAAAGT